GCACTTGGGCCTTCGGTGGAGTTCCCTAAGGGTGAGACGCTAAACTGGGTGGGCGAAAATGCAAAATTAGGTGTTTCGGGACGCATGCGGACGGTCCCACTGGTGGTTTCGGTGGAGCTTCCTGTGGGGCCACGGAACGCTGTGATGGGTATGCGGGACGCATGCGGGCGTCAGCACGGGGCCCTTCGGCGGGGCTCCCTATGGGGCCACGAAGCGCTGTAGTGGGTGGGTGAAACGCAAGGAAAAGGGCGAGGAGGGCCACGAAACGCTGTACTGGGTGTGCGGGACGCATGCGGTTTCGGCGGGGCTCCCGATGGGGCCACGAAACGCTGTAATGGATAGGTGAAACGCAGGGAGCAAGGGGAGGATGGCCACGAAACGCTGTACTGGGCGTGCGAGACGCACGCGGCCGGCCGCAGTGGGGCCTTCGGTGGGGCTCTCTATGGGGCCACAAAACGTTGTACTGGGTGGGTGCAACGCAGGGAAGAAGGTTTTTGCTGTGGGCGACTGCCGGCTAGGCTCTCGAAGGGACTAACAAGCAGGCTTAAAATATAAGAGAATTGAGCGGGCACACGGGGCCCTGGCAGTTCACGAACTTCACCGCGGCCCAGACAATGACGAGCTTTGCATGGCAAGCACTACCGGCAAGGGCGGCACTGCGACGTGCGCGCCCGCGGCGAACAGCCGAGAAGCTGCACGCACCACGGGTGCAACGAGCCACGGATGTTCCCGTAGCACGGCTAGCACTTCCACGCAGTCCGAAAACCGATTGAGCAGCTCGCAGTCTTCGCTGCGAATGGAAAACTGCGCCGAATTCGCTGCCTCAGACTGACCATCGCCGACCACATTGGATCCTAGATGGCTGCCTCGATCCTCCCGCAGAGAGACTGCGGCACCAGACGAAATACTCAGCGAATGGGGAGCACACTGCAAAACTGCCTCGGGAGACAATCCGGGCTCCAGACGGGCGCCGCCAGACACCTCCGGGCCATTCTCATGATTCACCGGCTCCGCCGAGCAAATGTCGCTGCTTCCGGCCTCTGCAAGGGACGTGGCATGAACAAAACTGTGAGGCACGATCGAATCGACGCCAAATGCGTCGAGATCAGCGCCTTCGGCCGCCAAAATGGCCTGGTCGTTCACCTGCTTATTTTTATTCCTCTGCCTCCGGCGAGGCCGCTTCTCACCTATGAAGAACTCTTCCAGTGCCGCCTGGGTGGGGTGGTCGGCCTGCGCACCTTCGCCAGCGGGGGCGGGGGTGGCAGAATCGGCATCCTCACCGGCTGAGGCGGCAGCGGCGGCGGCGGGGGAAGCAGCGCCGGACAGGTCGAACTCGAGCTCAAGGACGGTGCCGCCAGCACCGGCAGCGGCGGACGCGGAGGCAACGGCGCCGGCGGACGCTTGGCCAACGCCGCACGCCGGTTCCAGTCCGAAAGCTGGGCCAGCTGCTTCGCCCTCTCTCGGAAGAACTCCTTCCGGGACATGCGCGGGTAGACCTCCTTCCCTGTCTTTAGGCCCTTATTTTCCTTCTTGTCCTTCATCTCCTTCACCTGGTTGCTGTTCTTCTGCTTCTTCGGACGCCGCCTCGGGCGGCGTGCGGCCAGCTCCGCTGCTGGGTTCGCGCGCCGTTGCTTGCGCTGCCAGCCCCGGGTTGCCGACTTCCCTGCCGGCAACAGCGCTGCAGGCGCAGGAGGCGCTGGCGGCGTCGCAGCTGGCGGAGGTGGCACCGAAAGCCGGGCAGCAGGTGGCGGCTCCACTGGCACCGGAAAGTCCGTGCCCTTGTCCTTCACGCCACTGTCCTTCAGGCGGCCCTCGCGAGGGGGCGGGGGCAGCACACCGCGTGATTTGCGGCCCCACCGGGAAAGCACCTTGACAACAAGAATGGCTCCACCCTCCCTCTCCGGCAATGGCGGGGGTACTGGTGGAGCAGGCGCTGGCGGAGGCTGCGGGACATTGCAAATTGGAACCGCCCCTAATGGCGGGCGCACTGGTGGGCAAGGCGGCGGTGGGGCCTGCGACGCCAACGAAGTCGCGCCCACCGCTCACGACGCCAAGGTAGTCGTGTCCACATCCGACATGAGAGCAGGCGCCGCACCAATCCACTGGCCAGGAGGACCCTGTGGACGCAGCATCCTGAACAACAATATCGAAGGACTGGTCTCCAAGGCCAAATGCAAATTGCCTGAGCCTCTCACCCAACTCTTGCGACAATACGTAAGTGATGTTGCACGAAGAAGCGAACTTGCATGTAAAGGAGAAGACGGACACGATATGATCCCAGCTCTTCACCCTCTCGTCAGCTACAAAAGGGCGCTCAAGCCGCACACATCGCGGTGGTCCAGCGGCTGGGCCCCGGCGCAGGCGGGCAGGCGAGGCGCGCGCCCGGCCTGAGCCAGAGAGGCTTGAGAACGCAGGGAGGAGGGGGAGGAGGGAAGAGGAGGGAGGAGGGGGAGGAGGAGAGGAGGAGGAAGGAGGACGCGGGGCGCTGTCTCTTCAAAACGAGGACCCAACACCACAGGATGGTTGAGAAAAACTAGACTGTTCCCTCTGGGGTGATCGACTGTCCAAGACAGCGGCAACTCCCAGGGGGGAGGGGTTTGCGAGCCGGGGCCTCCAGAATGAAAGCGCACCGGGGAACTTCGCGGCCATCGAAAGGATGGCGCCGTCGACCACGAGCACCTCGGCCCCGCCTCGCGGCCGCCCGCGCGCTCTCCCTGGGCTCCCGGACGGCCAGCGCGCCAGCCAGCGGCGCGCGGGAGGCGCCGCCAGCGGCCACGCTTTCGCAGCAGTAGCGTCGCGGCGTCGCGCGCCTCCGCCCGCGCCCGGCAGGGGCACCCCCTCGCGCCCGGGGCCAGCCTCTGGGTGGCCGGCCAGCTTTGCGGTTCCGCGCCGCGCGCCGCCAGCGCCGCGTTCGCCCCGGGCCCAGGCATGCGCCTGCGTAGCCGCCAGGTCAGCGTCGGCTGCGTTGCGCTGGAGGACGCGCCCCAGCGACTGGCGCAGTCGCCAAATGACCGCCGAACGCCCCGCAGGCGCTAGCAGCCGCGCCAGGGCCAGCGCCTCCTCGCCCAGGCGGCCGTGGTCCTAGGGGCACCTGGGGTAGCTGGCCCGCTTGCGCCGCGCCGCGGTCGCCGCTGCCGCGCCGCCCCGCCGCGCAGAGCAGAGGGCGAGCGCGTCGCGCATGAGCGCGCTCACCACGGCCAGGCCGATCATGAGGGCGCGGGGCGTGGATGGCGAGGTCCACCCGCGCCTCGGGGGAACTCTTCGGTGCACGGTGCACATTGTTCCTCGCACCACGCCGCGAGCGCCGCGCAGCCAGCGTCGCGGCGGCGGACGCGCGCGGAGCAGCCGCGCGCGTCCTGTCCCCTGGGGCCCAGCGGCGAGCCACAGATCCTGGCCCGCGCGGTCGGGCAGGTCGAGGTGGAGGCGGAACCGCAGCGCAATGTTGAACTGCGCGTCGGCCAGCCGGTGGCAGGGCAGCGTCGGCACCTGCAGGAGCGCGCTCGCTGGGGCCCCCGCGGAGCGCATGCGGCCGCCGCCAGGGGGTCCGCGGCCGCATCGTCAGCGACGAGGCGGGCAGCCGCAGCGAGAGGGGCCGTGGCCAAGAAGCGCTGCGTTGCCGTCGGTGCCTCGTCGCCCACGTGGGCGGCATCGTCTTCCAGCGCGGCCCGGAGCGTCGCTTTGCCCGCCGGCAGGTTGCGGCGCGCCCAGTGGCTCACCGCTGCCAGGGCACTGGTACCTTTCCATGCTCAGCCGCCGCGTCCCCGGGGCTTCCCCATGCGCTTAGCTCCCTGGGCGCTCCCGACAAACTATTAGATTTCCTCTCCTCCTCCTCCTCCTCCTCCTCCTCCTCCTCCTCCTACTTGTCCTCGTCCTCGTCCTCGCCCTCGTCCTCGTCCACCTCCTCCTCCTCCTCCTCCTCCTCCTCCTCCTCCTCCTCCTCCTCCTCCTCATATTCCTCCTCCTCCTCTCGGCCTTGGCCTCCTTCTCCTCCTCCTTCTCCCTCTCCTCCTTCTCCTCCTCCGTGGCCTCTTCCTCCTCGCCCTCGACGTCCTCCTCATTTTTGGCCTTCTCTGGTTCCTCCTCGCCCTCGAAGGAGGAAGAGTTTTCGTCACTGCGAGGCTTCACCTGAGAACAGGCGTGAGCACCAGTTCCACGTAGAGGACGAGAGCGACCACGAACACCAAGAGGAGGAGGAGGAGGAGGAGGAGGAGGAGGAGGAGGGGGAGGAGGAGGAGGAGGAGGAGGGGGAGGAGGAGGGGGAGGGACACGACCGCACCCTCACCAACGCCAAACGTACAAGAGAATCCATAACGAGGCCCATCTAGAGCACCCCAATCAAAACCATCGAATCTCAGCGTGCATGACTAGCCACACGTCGCGACCAACACACACATGAAGATGAAAACGGTGCACCAACAAACCGCTTACAATACCCTCGCCTAAGACGTTGCAGACATCGCACGGCATAGCGTTCATGGATAGAAAGTGTCACCTAACAACGACCGAAAGCCAGTGCCCACTGTATCATATTCCGAGCAGGTGGGGAAGACTTGTATGGCGTGGGAGATACAATACCGTCGCTACCCAGAGCAGTCACGACGATGAGGAACAGAGGAACGAAGCAAACACTGCCACAGGGAAAACCAACTAACGGACACAACAACTTACCTGTACAAAGAAGAACCACCACTGTGAATTGCGCAACCTAGTGTCAACATGCAACCGTTGCCACTGAATCGAGACGCTGTGCCAACACCAACCATCCCATGGACCGCGGACCACACCAAGGCACCTACCTACCACCCGACTGCAACTGGCGACCAGAAGGCTACAACGCGTTGCCACCACGGCCAAGCCACATGGCGTGACCAACACACAAATGTGAGATTGGAGACTGTGTGCCATGTCGAACATCAAACCAAATTGCACTGCCAAGTCGCTACAGGAGCCGACGAGAAACAGAACAGCAGAGCACACCACGTAACCCAGTATCCTGGCGTTCACCGTTGAAGACCACAACGTAGAACAGCAACATCGCCCAATTCAGCACAGGCGTAGCACAGCCCGCGGTGATCTGAGAGACGGGTATAGGGAGGAGGCGGAAGAGGAGGAGGAAGAGGAGGAGGAGGAGGAGGACCAGTGTAAACCCAAAAGCCATCAACGATGTTGGAAGTAACCCTCCCTCCAAGCTCCCTCTCCAAAGGCCCCTACAACAGTTCGTTTCCATTGGGGGTACTGCCTCGTTGGAAGACAACCGTTTGACGCCGTTTGAAGACCTTGAAGAATGCAGGAACATTGTTCCCGGGATTTCCACGCCACGGATCAAGCTGACTGCTGCGTCCTGGCGATACGGAACCGTGCCAGAACGCCATTCTTGTAACTTCAACACCGCGAATCAACATAACTGTTGCGCCCGCATAATCCTGAATCCTTCGAACACGCAGTTTCTGGTACGTTGGTAATGGAAGTCCGCGAACCTCCTCTAACTTTTTAGTAATAAATTAGCCTGGCGAAGGACCCAACCATACGCAATTGTGAATACCGCAATTGTGAATATATTATTCGGTGGCGCTCTCTGTGGGGTCACGAACCGTATGAGGGTGTGCCGAAATGTGTGATAGGGTACACAACACGAACGAAAACGATAGGTCTGAGTGTGAAAGGCTTGAGCGCGGGCGAGTCTAAGCGCGAGTGAGTCTGATTCTGAATGAATATGCGCGCGATTGATTCTATTTGCATGGATGCGAACATGGAGTCGCCTAATGTAAATGCATACGAAAGGGAATGGTTTAGGTCTGCCTGACTCTGAGAACTCGTGACACTGAGGGTAGCCTCCGCAAGGAGTTTTCCTGGGAACCCCGACGGCAGCACCCGCGCGCCGCGACGCCCATGTCGGCACGCCCCACACGAGGATCGCGCCCGCTTCCTCCCCTTCTTTTCCTTCTTCTTTGCCCGCGCACTCCAAAGTTCAAGGCTGCGGGCGCCGCGCTACGCGCAGGTCGGACGTCGACGACGGACGACGACGAAGAAATCTGCCATAGGGAAGCTGTCGGGACCACCAGTTCCCTATGGGGCCACGAAACGTGTGAGGGGTGTGCCGAATTGGGTGTGCGGGACGCGTGCGGGCGGCGGCAATGGGGCCTTCGGTGCAGCTCCCTAAGGGGCCACGAAACGTGTGAGGGGGTGTGCCGAATTGGGTGTGCGGGACGCATGCGGGCGGCGGCACTGGGGCCTTCGCTGGAGCTCCCTGTGGGGCCAAGAAACGTGTGAGGGGTGTGCCGAATTGGATGTGCGGGACGCATGCGGCCGGCGGCACTGGGGCCTTCGGTGGAGCTCCCTATGGGGCCACGAAACGTGTGAGTGGTGTGCCGAATTGGGTGTGCAGGACGCATGCGGACGGCGGCACTGGGGCCTTCGGTGGAGCTCCCTATGGGGTCACGAAACGTGTGAGGGGTGTGCCGAATTGGGGAAGCTCTGCGCGGCCCGCTTAGCTTCGACCGGAAGAGGTGCGCTCTCGACCTGCGAATCAACAAGTGTGCCGAATTGGGTGTGCGGGACGCATGCGGCCGGCGGCACTGGGGCCTTCGGTGGAGCCCCCTATGGGGCCACGAAACGTGTGAGGGATGTGCCGAAATGGGTGTGCGGGACGCATGCGGCCGGCGGCACTGGGGCATTTGGTGGAGCTCCCTATGCGGCTACGAAGCGTGTGAGGGGTGTGCCGAATTGGGTGTGCAGGACGCATGCGGACGGCAGCACTGGGGCCTTCAGCGGAGCTCCCTATGGGGCCACGAAACGTGTGAGGGGTGTGCCGAAATGGGTGTGCGGGACGCATGCGGCCGACAGCACTGGGGCCTTCGGTGGAGCTCCCTATGGGGCCACGAAACGTGTGAGGGGTGATGGTGCTGATGACGGCGATGATGATGACGATGATAGTGATGATGACGGGTGAGAGGAGGTGGGAGGGGGGGAAGGAGGAGGAGGAGGGACGACGCGGGGCGCTGTCTCTTCAAAACAAGGACCCAACACCACAGGATGGTTGGGAACAAATGTGAGCGGCGCCAAGGCGAAAGCCACATTTTGAAAAAGAAACGCCCTCAACCAGTGAAACTCTTGCAAACCTTGAAAACGAATGTGCGCGGCGCTAATCCGTGAAGCTCTTGCACATGTTTTAAGCGAGTGTGGACGGCGCCAAGGCGAGAGCCACATTCTCAAACAAAACAGCCGCCCTCTATCCGTCAAATTCTTGCACATGTTGAAAACGAATGTGCGCGGCGCTAAGGCGAGAGCGACATGCTGAAAACGACCTGTCCTCCATCTGTGAAACTGCTGCCATTGTTTAGGCTTCGTAATCATAAATGGTGAGGAAGTCTCATGTGAAACGCCCAGCCCGCCCTAAAAACTGGCCTCGGGGTGCGACAGGGAGAAATTACCAATGGGGGAAGAGGAGGAGGGAGAAGCAGGAGGAGGAGCACGGGGAGCAGGAGCAGGAGGATAATCAGGAGGAGGAGCAGGAGGAGGGCAGAGAACCACAATTCGCCGCCCCCCCCTCCCCCCCCCCCCGAGAACGCCGCTCCCCTAAGGGCGCTCGATTAGGGCAGCGCGGCCCGCCCTGGCACGGCGGGGCCCCGCCTCCGCCACGGCGCGCCCAGCCACCGTTCGACCGCGCGTAGGCACGAAAGGCCTGCCGCGGCGTGCCGTCATAGCGCACGAGGCCCCACCACTCCTGGGATGGTAGCCGCGAGCGTGAGCGGGAGAAGGGCAGTCCTCCTCCTCCTCCTCCTCCTCCTCCTCCTTCTCCTCCTTCTCCTCCTTCTTTCTCCTCCTCCTCCTTCTCACTCCCTCCCACTCCTCCTCCTCCTCCTCCTTCTCCACCTCCTCATCCTGCCTCATTATGAATTCTTAATAATCTTCCTCCTCCTCCTCCTCCCCCTCCTCCTCCCTCCTCCTCCTCCTCCTCATCCTCCTCCTCCTCCTTTTTCTCCTTCTTGTTATGGTACTCCCTCCTTCTTCTGATTCGTTCTATACTGCTATCATTATTATTTCTCCTCCTCTATTCATGAGGAAGCTCGGGGATCGGAAACAGGAGTCCTGTAGCCAGTCGCGGGCAGAGCTCATGGATGTAGACGGGCTCACGGATAAGATCTGGCAGGTTGAAACCCTCCTGGCCAGGGTGGAGCCGGGGCCACGCGACCTCATGCCCGACGCCCTGCTCAAAGGCCTCTGCGAGGGCCGCTGAAGCCGGCGGCCACAGCTAGTGTCGCATCTTTTCGCTTCTCTGCGCGAAGGGCCGTGTTTTGTTGTCGTCGCCCGCTGGGCCCATCGTCGCCACGGTTAGACCTGGCTCGGAGAGCTGGGGGCTCTACCCCGAAGCCTGGACAGGCCGAGGAGCTGGCCCGGGCCAGGCCACATCGGCCTGGCTTGTCGTAAACTTCGGCCCCGCGGAGCGGGGCCCGCCCTGTGCGGTGTAGCCTGGCATCTGGCCTGGCCTTCATGCCTTCAGTCTTCAGCCTTCTCCTCCGTTCTCCTCCTCCGTTCTCCTCCTCCTCCTCTTCCCCCTCCTCCTTCCCTGCTCCTCGGGGCCTGCTCACTGGGGCCTGATATGGAGCATTCTCGGGGAGTAGGGACTGGGGGGCTGCAGCTGCAGAGCCGCACCCCCTGCCTCGAAGAGGGGGAAGGGGGGGCAGGGGCAACCGCCCCTCCCCCCCGCGCCCCTGCTCCCCCCCTCACCAAGATGAGGCCCGAGCTTGGCGAGGGCGTCGCGAAGATGGCAGGTCGCGACCTGCATCCCGCGGGCCAATCGGATTGGCGCCCTCCTGTTTGTGCTTCCATCGTGGAAGCCGCTCGGCAAAGTGACCGCCTCCAGGACATGCATTGGCACTGAGGGGCGGCGTGTTATGGAAAGCGTTCCCGCGGCCTGGAACGCAGTCGGGTCCATGTCAGAAGGGGTACCCGCCCCATCGGGACTGAAGGTCGGCGCTTCTGGGAAGAAATGTAAGAGGGCCCCTTCTACCAGAGAGCGAGAGGCTCTCGGCTGGGGCTGGCAGCACCAGCCCATCCGTCGTCCGCCGATGTGACGGCACCGTCGTCTTCCGTACTGGAAGAAATCTGCTAGCGAAGCTTAATGGGCCGCAGAGCGCGAGGTCCAGCCACTCCCAGGAATGCGCCCTTAGCACCAAGAAGCAGATACACAAACTCGAAATACTCAGCTTCGAAATCACAGGATATTGCATTGAGACCGTCCTGCTGTTCAGCTTGTACGCGCAAGCCAAGGGGTTAAGCAATATACCATAAAATTGCCAAGTAGCTCCTCACCTCTCCTCTTGCCCTGCCTTATCCTCTTATCCTCCGATCCTCGGAGCGCAATTGATAACACAGGCCAAAAACAATGGCCCAAGGTAGCGTGTTCACCAATATCGTCCGTATGGCCCATCTCGGCCCAAGATAGCATCCAAGATGGCCCCAGGAGGCTCTGGGACAGCCCCAGGACGGCTCCATTGTGGCGCTGGAGCCTCCCAGCGCCCCAAGGAGACACCCGAGGTGTGAACATCGAGGAGCACATGTTCAGTGGGCTTGCCCCTCCTGGAGGCCGTCTCACGAGGGGCCGAAGAGGACCCAAGGTGGGCCCAGGCTAATCTCAGCAATGTTACAGTAAGTTCGGTAAGGGCCATCTATTGACTCCCAGGGAAATTTCAGGCGGGACCCCGAGCGCACTTGGGAACGCAAACCACCCCCAGAATGCCTCAACTCCTGGGAGGCTCACTGGAAATCCTTCCCAGGAACACGGGTGGGAATCCCAGGCCCTACGCCGCTCCAGCGTTGCGTTCCCGGGCGCGACGCAGTGCTCTCAATTTTGACCCTGCCTAACGTGGCAGCCGCACTAACAAGGAATATGGCCCGAAGCGCGGTACTGCTACCTCATCATCATTGAGCCCCTGGCCCGCAGGCCAAGCAATGGCGGGACAGGCTGGTGTACCTCCCTTGTGCCCCCGTGAGCTTCGGGCGCGAATCCCCTCGCGGTAACTGCACACATCGCGTTGCCAGCGTGGCTGCGGGGAAGCGCACTCCGAGCGCACCCGCTCGCGGCCGCGGCACACCGCGTTGCCAGCGCAGGTTGCCAGGAACCGCGTTCCGAACGCACCCGCCCGCGGTTACGGCACATTTTGGCGCCGGAGTGGCGAACAGAAAGTTCACTCCGGTTGCACCCGCTCGCCCCAGGCGCACATCGCGTTGCCAGGGCGTCTGCCGTCTGGAGTCGGACCCCTGGCCCCGAACTCTGCTCGCAGAGGTCCAGCTGCTCCTTTGTCCTGTCCCATTCCCCCTCCATGCACTTTCTGCCACAACATTGCTCAACTCGCCTCCCCGTCCCAGTCCTGATGCCCCTCCCCTACACCACCCTCCCCTTTTCCTCCTCGTCCTCCTCCTCGTCCTCCTCCTCCTCCTCTTCCTCTTCCTGCTCCTCCTCCATCCATTTTCCTTGACAACAATTCCTCCCTGTCGCGCCCCCTGGTGTGTCGGTAGGGCGGGCTGGGCGTTTCGCCTGAGACTTCCTGACCATGTGATATCCATAATATTGAAATCTGCAGCAGATTCAAGGGCGGAGGGCGGTTCGTATTCAGAGTGCGGTTTTCGCTTTAGCGCCGCGCGCATTCTTCTTAAAAGCTGCAAAACAGCCTGAAGGATGGAGTGCGGCTCTTGTTCAAAATGTGGCCCCCGACGTGGCGCCCCGCACATTCGTCTGAAACGTATACAGCTGACTCGACAGTTCGTATGGTTGACGTCCCAGGAATGGTGTTCAGGCGCGATTCAGGATTGTCAATATGCACACAACAGCCACGTTGAATCGCAGCACCCAACTCCCAGGCGTGGTGCTTTGGCACGACTTGGGATTCCAAGGACGCAAGAGTCACGTTGATTCGCGGCGTTGAAAACTCAGGAACTGTGTTTGGGTACGATTGGGGATTCTCAGACGGCAACCTTCCAGTCGTGAACTTCCCGCAGCGAAAGATACATGCTTGTAGGGACCTACGCAGAGGGAAATTTGATGGGGAGTTATTGCAACATCGGTGGCGCGTCTTGGTTGTACACTAGTCCTCCTCCTCCTCCTCCTCCTCCTCCTCCTCCTCCTCCTCCTCCTCCTCTTCCTTGCTGATAGTATTTGTTTTCCTATGCTTCTTCTTCTCCTTCTCCGATTCGGCCAAAGTGACGTCACCCGCCCACCGCTCTACGCTGTGCTACGCTGCTGTTCCATCCTGCCCGCCCCACCATCTACCCATTCAGTCGCGCGATCACTCCTTCAAGGCTCCATTCAGCAGATATGCTGCCTCAAAAAATACTGCGGAGAGGTCCCAAATAGCGACCGGCTCTTCGAGTTAAGGCGCGATCCAGCGAAGAACTATAGGAAAGCACTGCAGTCCCTGCTGCTGCCATGGTCTGTTGGCGCAGGGCCCCATCGACGCTTAGCCTAACTCGTGGGGAATACTCTGTGCTGATGGCGTTGTCCTGCCCTGCCCTGTGTCGTCGTTCCAATCATGTCCCAAGTCCAACGCAAGATTGGCGCAATGGTCTGCGATGGACTTGTACCAGCAGGGGTCCCATTCCACGATCGGCACCGTCTCCAGCTGGGCTAACCAACCGTCGTTCAGGAACCATTGTAATCGTCGGGCAATTCGAACACAGATCGGTCAGACAGCTTCTATCGCGCAAATGATCTGCCAGCGAAGAGCTCCTGGACCTGCTGGTTGTCGATTTGCGCCCATATCCTTTTCCATGGTTGTCCCCGCTGCACCTCTCGAGGGTTGGGAAGCAACGGGGGGAAGAGTTCACCGCATTTTCCACATGCACTGCGAACCATGGCGAAGCGAAGACATCACCAGCATCGGGCTCTAGCCATGGCAACGCCCACTTGTTCGACAATTCCGCAGAGGAGGCCGATAATTTCTTTATGCGCTCTGCGAGGTTGCTGCCGGCGCATCGTTCTTCATCTCTCCATCTCGCCCTCCGCGCCGCAACGAACATGCGGTCCCAATCTGGCGTCGGCTGACGCCTGCCCTTACGGCGCGCCGCCCCGAACTCAAGTCATTCCTGCTACGGCGAGATAGCGCGGCACGTCTCCCGCCTGGCTGGCCCGCGGGACTCCCGGAGCTCTTGGGCTGGGTTCCGTGACCCCCCAGTCCGGGGCCGCGCTTCTTTCTGGGCCTCCTAGAACGCTGCCTTCGGAGATCGGGATGCCAATGATGTCACCGAATGCCTCTGGGATAATTGTTCCACCTGTTTGCTGCGCGAATGCGGCATTCAGCGGGCCCTTCGGTGCGCTTTCGCCTCGGCCGTTGAGCACGCCGCTGCATTTGCGACGCCCCCCCGGAAGATGGCGGATGCGAGGTGCCGCGTTTCCGCGGCGCCCGCAGTCGCGGCGGCGGCCGCGCCCCTCCAAGCCCGCAACCTCGCCCGCATAGGGGGGGCACTTTGGTCTGGAAGAGATGCCGATGCCTGGCGCGCTGCGTTTCAGCCCGCGCCACATTGCAACGCATGTTGGTCCAAGTCCTGCCGCGGCTATCGGCCTGACAAGCCAATGCGTCGAGCTCCCTGAGTTCGCCATATTCCAAGATGTCGGGCCCCCGTTTCGCCCCGAGGCCTCTCGTCGCAGCCCCGGCCAACGCGCCGCGCGACGTGCGTTCCAAGGACTCCGGCTTCCAAGAAAAAGAAAACGATTGAGGCGACGTTCAG